CAGATAAAAAAAACGGGATATAAGTTGGCAAAAACAATCTGAAACGGTATCATTATCGGGTTAATCACGGATTTTCTTATTTATGGTACGAACGTACTTAAATTATTCAATCCTGAAAATTCTTGTTTCAATCCCAACTATCTCAAAATTTTTAGTCCCGAAAATTCTTGATACAATCACGAATCACAATCTTAAAATATTTAATCCCGAAAATTCTTCTTTTAATCCCGACTACTCTTAAAATGTTTAATCTCGAAAATTCTTGATTTAATCCCAACTATTCTTAAAATGTTCAATCCTCAAATTCTTGATTTTATCCCAAAAAGTCTTAAAATTGTTAATTTTTGGTATATACATTTTATTTTGAAATGGTTTTATTTTTTAGTTTAGTTATAGGCTAAGAAATGGCTGAAAGGATTCTTTTTTTTAAATAGAACTTATTCACTAGTTCGTCTATCTTAGGGCGTATATTGTTCAGGGTCTCTATTTGAAGTACGAAAGACTCCTGGGAATCCGCAATCGTCAGTTTTTAATAATATCGATACAAGGAAGTCTTGGAGATCTGTAATGTAGAAATAACTTGTTTTAACAAATATATTTATTAATAATAATAATAATTACCTTTATTTGTAGACGACTTTGCTACTGCCAGTTCTTGTTAACAAATGTCGTTACGAAGGTGGGTTGAGTAATGAGTCAAAATTTTGACTTTGAATTCTTCCCACTTCGACAAAAGCAAATGACCTTTGCCAGGATAGAGCATTTGAAAGTCAATTTCAATCTGAAAATAAAAACCAATTTGAGAAACTTATTGAAACCTAAATAAATTAAAGTAATAACTGTATAGGCAAATTTATCGCACAAGGCTGAGACGGCAAAGCTAAAGACAAAAAGCTGTATATAACTGTAATTTCTGCATACATACAGTCAGCACAAAATTTATTCGGACACTGTCTATTATCAAGTTTAACAGCCTATTTGCAGGAATTTTCGTAATTTTAGCAGGTTTTTTTGTACGTATCATAGAAACAGTGATTTTCAGAAGACATTTCACAAACAAAAATTTAATTTTTTAAATTAGCCTTAAAAATATTGAAAGAAAAGCAAAAAAATTGCTAAAATGTTGCACAAAAATTATTCGTACATTTCTCATTTATTGTGTTTATTTCTGAACTCAACGGTAAGCGGTGATTCTTTTTAAAGTAGTTTAGTTGAAATTACTTCGGAGTAATTTTCTGCATGATTTTTTTTTGTTTATTGTTAGTTTTTATGTGTTTTTTGATGCGATTGGTCAAAATGGAAGGAGTTTAAGATTTGCCACTAGATTTTCGAAAATCTATCTTAAATTAATTTTTGGAAAATCGTAGTTATTGCGAAATCGGTCGTATTAATGGAAAATCACCTTCCACAATACATAGTATAATCAAAAAATACTTAAAAACGGAATAATGAGCTTCAAATCACAAGAAAGCTAGAAGGTCTAAGATTCTGTATTCACGTGAGGGACTGAAATTTATGTCTATAGTCCTGAAAAATCCGAAAACAACATCAACAACAATTCAAAAGAATGTAGAGCAAGCGAAAATAAAATAAGTTTGGGCCCAAACCATCCGAAACTACCTGTACAAGGCTGGTTTACATGGCAGAGTTGCTCGTCGAAAGCAATTAATTTCTGCCATCAACAAAAAAAAGCGTTTGGAGTTCGGAAAACGGCATATAACCACCCGGATTCGTTTTGGGAGAACGTAGTTTTTAGCGACGAATCCAAATTTTATATATTTGGACACTATGGGCCCTCAAAAGTGTGGAGGAAACCAAATGAAGCCATGAATGAGAAGAACTTAATTCCAACTGTTTAGCATGGTGGCGGGAATGTAATGATTTGGGGGTGTGTATCGGCAGGAGAAGTCGGTCAAATGGTCTTTATTGACGACAAAATTAATAAGAATATGTACAAAAACATTTTAAGCGAAAATTTGATTCCAAGTGATATAAAACTTGGTCTAGATCCGAAGACATTGTTGTTTCAACAAGACAACACTCTTCGTCTTTGGTGCAAGAGTGGCTTTTATATCACTGCAAGTAGCTGAAAACACCTTTCCAGTCACCTGATTTAAATCCCATAGAACATGTGTGAGATATTCTTGAGAAAAGGATTCGGAAGCACGTCATTTCGTCCAGGGAGTCCTTAAAAACTGCATTGATGGCTGAATGGGGTCAAATTAGCGCTAATGAGACAAGCAACTTGGTAAAAAGCATGGGTCAACGCTTACAAGCTGTCATTGATGTTAGTGGAGGACCCACCAAATATTAAAAATATTAAAACATCAAGAAATATGTTTTTTTTTTTATATTATATGAAGTGTACGAATAATTTCTGTGCGTAAAATTGTGACTTTTCAAGTTCATTTAAGAAAATATCTAATTTTACTGTTGAAAGTTCCTTATTTTTTTGTTAAAATATATTCTAAGAATGTTAACCTTCACAATGAAATATAAATTGTTTGTTTTCGTTACGTTTTTGTTGAGTTATTAATGAAACAAATTGAAAATCACGGTTGTCCGAATAAATATTGTGTTGACTGTATGTATGTATGTATGTCTGTATGTATACATACTCACATTTATATGTATGTGGCATATGGTAACGCACTTGCGTATATGTAGAAATACAGTACTGTACTTTTTTTCGTCTGCAGCTTCGTTCTTCGTATGTATGTATTTATGTTAATTTATTAATTTATTTTATGCATTTGCTCTCTGTCTGCCGGCACACAACTTAGATTAATATATAGTATATACATATACATATACATATATATATATATATTATATACATAGTAAGTACTACTTACCGATTAGATAGTCGTGCACTTTTTCAAGTTGAAACTCTTTCAGCAGGTTTAGCAACCTATCCGGAGTTTTACACATTTTCACTTTCACGTTCACTGTTGAAACTTTTCACTGTTGCTCTCTCGACGTTCTCGACTCAATTGCTAAAATGTACGCACCGAGCATGGCATGGTACATTTTACCGAAAATTTAAGATAACTGCGCACTATTGAACTTGCTATCTCTTTCTTTCGCATGCCTCTCCAAATACTTGGAGTTCCCAAGAATACCGAAGACTACGAGAGAGATCAAACGAGAGAGAGATTGCTCTCGCTCTCAGCAAAAATTGACTTTTTAAGAATTTTTAAGCTTAAATCAAGAACGTTTCAGATTACTGTGGCATTTTAATCCCGAATCGGGATTAATTTAACCTTTTAATCCCGAAATGTGATAAAAAATTTCAAGAAAACGCGTTCTATATTCAATCAAAATATTCTTGATTTATTCAGGATATTTTTTTATCTGTGAAGGAAAACACTCCACTCCGATTATGAGAGTGTCACTAAAGTGCCAGGTCACGTTCGAGTCTGCGGCAAAAGTGAGTCACACACAGAAACCCCGACTCCGGAGTGCCGACAATTTTCCGGGGCTCATCTTTTTATCAGCCAGCCAGCTAGCTTGATAAGCTGCTACAAATTTCGATGACGCAAGTGGAAAATGGAAATGGAAAAGTACCCCTTCCCCTGAGATTTTCCTGGCGGTAGTCGTAGTCGCTCCCTCTAATTTGCTGCTCATTTTGTTTGATGATGTGACGACATACGATTCGCCGCCTCTTTGAACTTGGCCTGCGGCATTTTATCTATCCGCTACTCGGATTGGGGTCCATGGAGCAGTTATCTCCGGACTCGGTGTGGTCCTTATCTCCGGCGTGTGCTGCTGCTAATGAGCGTCTGCTAGTTGTTTGCATTTGGCTTAAACAAACAGCAAGTTAGCCGCACTGGTCTTTGTTTTAGAATAGTACATTGGAATCATGGCTTATCGCTATATAAACCAAACCCTGACCTAAGTCAGCGGCATTTCCCCATACACATATACTGTGTAGTGCGCCTTATGACTGGAATAATCTGACAGCGACCCAGTTTGATAGGAACTAACATGCGGCTAATCTACGGAATCGAAAGGGGTTCCGATTGCCCTGGCTATCTGTTTGCTTAGGTGTATCTAATCCGCAGTGGGACAACTAATATTCAGGAGAAGTATCAACTATATTTGTTAAATGTTTCCATTGTGTTTCATTCAAGGGGTAAATTGGGCTTCGTGGTACTGTTAAACATTAATAATTGTGTATAATAGCATTTTTCTGAAGCTATGCGGCATGAGTTAAGTCTAAAGAAAAATAATATAAGTAAATATTTTGCCGTTATTAAATTACTTTAAAAATAAAGAAAAATCTGTGATTTCCAATACTGAATTATCTACGCCTTTAAGACTCGTTATAAATTTAAGTAATAAGAAATTGTTATTGAAACTTTATTATTTTAAGTAAAATTAACATATATTTGAATGAAAGTACCTTATAATTTCTTATTTAGTTATCATAAAAAAGAGTATCTGAAAATTTTTTATTTTAGCTGCATTATAAAGCTATAATTTTTTTATACAGCAATAAATTGTATATTTCGTTGGGTTGTGAGTGTGGTCGAAAATTGTCGCAGCAATGTTTCAGCCCTTAACCGCACTGGAAGCCATCCACTTGCCAAACCAAATTGAATTAGAGGCTCCGGCGAATGCATCCATTTTACAGCTGAAATCATAAACAGAACCGAATGCTGCTTAAAATTTCATTACGCGCACTTAAGTGGTGTGATTTTCGGCACACCCTTTTCGGTGGGGAATCCCCCGTTTGCCAGTGTTGCAAAAGCTCGTAAAATCCCCACTAGCTGCAGTAGCTGGAGGAACCTCCGCAGTGGTGACACATCCACATCCACATCCGCATCCACGTCCACATCCACTGCAATGCAGCTGGCGAAATGTCATCAGCGCCTGGATTTTATGGCGACGGCGAAAGGAGAATGTATCTAAGCTGCAGTCTTGTTCCTGGTTTGCTGGTTGCTGGTTCCTGGTTGCTGGTCTCCCTTTTCTGGCTCCTAAATTCGGCTAAAGCGTAAAACTTTTATGGCCGCCGCAGCGCGTGGAAGAAACCTCCTCGTCGTCGTAAATAAATTTCTGCCCGTAATTAATTTTGCATGCCAGTCAGATAGTTGAGCTTCCCGGCGACAGTTAGCTGTTTCTCAAGTCGGTTTTTGGTTTTTTATTTTGGTAGTGTATAAGCACAGACGCCAACTGCTGATTGGGAATGCCACACGCCATTAAGGCCGTTTTGATATGCCAAATGTGTCGCTAAATGATTTTTATTCCCCATTGCTCATACGCACCGTGTGACGCGCTGAGCTTAGTATGCAAATTGTACCTTTTTGTGTACTAGCATTTGGTGAGTGACGCACATGCCTCAGCCGAATCTGTCAGAATGTCAGAAATTCAGCCAGCAGAGTTGAGATGGCAGTGCAGTCAGCTCATTAGTGAGTCTGTTTGCCATTGTGGCTCTTGTCTGGCTGCTCCAGCATTATTTATCTGGCATTTTTAACACTTGCCGTTGACAGTCGCTTTGGCATATTCTGCGCTATTTTCTCCGCTGGCAGCGCACACAGCAAAATAAGACCCAAAGTCGAGCTAACAAGTGCAAATTTGTTTGCTGCATCGAGCTGGGCACAAATTTCTCAACCTTGGCTCCGTGCTCGCCTTGTTTGCCCCCCGTTAATTTTTTGTTGATTTTACGCGTTAGCCGCTTGGCCGCCCCAGCGTGTGTTTACTGTAGCTACACTATTTGTATCGGGGCCAGGTCACAGCTGTGTGTGAACGGAGCAAGTTAGTTGACACAATGATAGGGCCAACTTTATTTTGAGAGACTCAAAGGCTGCTCCCTTGCATCTAAGCAAATTGAACTGGCTCAGGGTGAATAGCATTGCTGACATTTTTGAAATATGTTAAATAGTTGACACAATCTCCGAAATGTACAGATCAGCTTTTAGTGATAATTGGAAGACAGGAATAATACTGATCGAAAATTGATCAGTTCGTAAACTGTATCCCTTTCTGGCTAAACTACAATAAAAAAAAACTCCAAATAAAATGAGTATTTTTGCCAAAAGTCCTAATATTCAAAAAAAAAAACATTTTATGAAAAAATCCAAATATGAAATTTCATACCTCTTTGAATTGAACTGTTTTATTAAAATGCAGGGAAATAATGGCTTGGCACTAATCAGAAGCCATTAGGTTTTTTATTTACCCATTTATTTAGGTAAATATAGCCAAAATATAAAATTAAATCCGAAACAATCCAAAAAGTAAATCTTTTGTTAATAATTGTCATTTTATACTGGGTAGTAAATTTGTCTTCTCACTGAATTTTCAGTTAGGAGTTCTTAAATATAGTTACGATCTTCATTTAACTAATAGCAGCAACCTCTCACAAACCAATCACAAATTAAAATACATCCAAATTTCGTATGATATTTTAAGTAACTCAACTCGAGTCCGCAAGGAATGGTTTTACTTCGAGACATCCAATTATTATTTTCGGAGATATGGATGAGACTGGAAACATACGGAAAAGGTTTGCACGCCAAACTTACTCTGTCCTTTTGATTTTTTTGGCCATAGCTTTTGTCCAGTGGATTATAGTCTCATTGGTGTAGGTATTTTCCCTAAAGAGTCAACAGTATTTCCTCATTTCTGCTTTCACAGGGAAAGATGTCGTAAGATATTCCGACATTTTGAGATATACTGCTCGGCCACCTGTTCCGTAGCTGGCATACTTTTCACCATGTTTGTTTTCAATGAAAATCTGCGTAGCAAAAAGATTTTCAGCCGAGCTGTGGCTTTTCTGATAGTAAGTTATTGTTTTATGTTTTTTAGATTTACATCAAGTATACATATTTTAGGTGGAACTGCTTGTATTTTCGATGTTCGTGCTAATTGCCCGAACTTGGATCCCAGATCAGATGGCCTTCTACTTTTTCTGCGTACTCCTAATGGTTGTAGCTCTGATCGTTGGCTGTCATCTTTCCTTTACGGTAGGTGCTTGTTATAAAGAATAGGATCCATAAGCATCCATAAGTACTGCTTTCAGATGGATATGACGCAGTACATAGCTCCGCTTTTCCTCATGAGCTTTATACTTGTCACAATCTCGATTTATTTTCTGGTGGTAAATAACTTTATGGAAAAGCTAAAGCCTTATGCCTATCTGATCTTCGAGATTTGTCTTACCAGTGTGATGACATTGGTAAGTTTTGTTCAGCCTCATATTATATATTTTTAATTAAGTGTTTAAGAGTGTCATGCTGCATGCGCAAACAATTAGTGGAGATCGGATGGTCCAGATGAGCTCGGATGATTCTCTATTGGCCGCCTTGTTCCTTTTCAACGAGTTTCTGGCCGTGTACGCCATGACTTTCTACTGGCAGATCAACTATAACTATTTCACGTCCACTGATTTCTTATGGATGTCGACAAGTACCAAGCATTCACATGACACAACCCCCGTAAATTCGGACTATGACTATGGTAAGAGGACAACTTTTTTAAGTAAATCTTTATAACATTATAAATTACAGATATGACGCCTGACGGTCAAGAATGGGGAATTCAAAATGACACAAACTATGATTGGGCTAAGGAAATGGTACACAGATAAAAAAAAACGGGATAAAGTTGGCAAAAACAATCTGAAACGGTATCATTATCGGGATAATCACGGATTTTCTTATTTATGGTACGAACGTACTTAAATTTTTCAATCCTGAAAATTCTTTTTTCAATCCCAACTATCTCAAAATTCTTAATCCCGAAAATTCTTGATACAATCACGACTACTCTTAAAATAATTATTCCCGAAAATTCTTCTTTTAATCCCGACTACTCTTAAAACATTTAATCCCAAAAATTCTTGATTTAGTCCCGACTACTCATAAAATGTTTAATCCCAAAAATTCTTCTTTTAATCCCAAATATTTTTAAAATGTTTAATCCCCAAATTCTTGATTTTATCCCAAAAAGTCTTGAAATTGTTAATTTTTGGTATATACATTTTATTTTGAAATGGTTTTATTTTTTAGTTTAGTTATAGGCTAAGAAATGGCTGCAAGGATTCTTTTTTTAAATAGAACTTATTCACTTGTTCGTCTATCTTAGGGCGCATATTGTTCAGGGTCTCTATTTGAAGTACGAAAGACTCATGGGAATCCGCAATCGTCAGTTTTTTTTTGTAGTTTTGCAGTTTTCGCTATTTTTAAAGCGAGGCAAAACACCATTTAATAATTTCGATACAAGGAAGTCTTGGAGATCTGTAATGTAGAAATAACTTGTTTTAACAAATATATTTATTAATAACAATAATAATTACCTTTATTTGTAGATGACTTTGCTACTGCCAGTTGTTGTTTACAAAAGTCGTTACGAAGGTGGGTTGAGTAATGAGTCAAAATTTTGACTTTGAATTCTTCCCACTTCGACAAAAGCAAATGACCTTTGCCAGGATAGAGCATTTGAAAGTCAATTTCAATCTGAAAATAAAAACCAATTTGAGAAACTTATTGAAACCTAAATAAATTAAAGTAATAACTGTATAGGCTGTATTTACAAATAAGCGCTGAGACGAATGTAAAGCTGAAGAAAAAAAGACTATATATAACTGTAATTTCTGCATACATTTGTATGTATGTATGTCTGTATGTACATACTCACATTTATATGTATGTGGCATATGGCAACGCACTTGCGTATAGAAATGCGGTACTGTCCTTTTTTTCGTCTGCAGCTTTCCCTTCACATTCGACTCAGCGCTCGCTAAATACAGAACCTTATGCGATCGTGCTCTGACATGCACGCGTTCGTCAACTCAGTCGCGTATACACATTTTTCGTACGCAACTTTTTCCAGAGCGTGCATATCCGTGCACGATCGCATAAAGCTGCAAAGCTGCAGAAGGTTGTAGAGTTTTTCCACGAAAAATTGTATGTACTTAGTACATATGTCGCAAATACAGAACTGTACTGTTCTTCGTATGTATTAATGTATGTACATACAAGGAAAAACTACAACCATAAACATATTTTTCACAGCACTTTTGAACTTCACATTCATATGTATGTATGTATGTATATGTATGTAGATAACACTCAAATATTCTAATTAATTTATTTTATGCATTTGCTCTCTGTCTGCCGGCCACACTTGCACATATGTACATACATATACATATTCACATACACAACTCAGCTTAATATATAGTATATACATATACATATATATATATATTATATATGTACATAGTAAGTACTACTTACCGATTAGATAGTCGTGCACTTTTTCAAGTTCAAACTCCTTCAGCAGGTTTATCCGAAGTTTCACACATTTTTACTTTCACGTTCACTTTTCACTGTTGCTCTATCGACGTTCTCGACTCAATTGCCAAAATGTACGCACCGAGCATGGCATGGTACATTTAACTGAAGAACATAAGGTGGTCTTTTTAAGATAACTGCGCACTATTGAACTTGCTATCTCTTTCTTTCGCATGCCTCTCCAAATGCTTTGAGTTCCCAAGAATACTGAAGACTACCTTATATAGGAATACCATGCGAGAGAGATCAAACGAGAGAGAGTTGCTCTCGCTCTCAGCAAAATTGACTTTTTAAGAATTTTTAAGCTTAAATCAAGAACGTTTCAGATTACTGTGGCATTTTAATCCCGAATCGGGATTAATTTAACCTTTTAATCCCGAAACGTGATTAAAAATTTCAAGAAAACGCGTTCTATATTCAATCAAAATATTCTTGATTTATTCAGG